GAGTCTGAAGTCTTTTCTTGTCATTAAGAAGAAGGTTTTAAAACAGTTGGAGTTTCTAACTTCCAAGAAAAGGGTCGAAGGACACTGCTTTTAAAAGTCTTCAGAATCTTCAAGATCTCTTAAAGTATTCTCTTCAAAAACTTGAAAGTATAGGATTTATCTAAGACTTTGGAACCATAATGGCTTCAAATGTTTGTTCTAGTATGTTCTTAACTTTGAGAGTAAACTCTGTAGGATTATTTAATTTATATTTACATTACATTAATGAATTTAGCAGGGGTTGTTAGGTAGGTTTCATCCTCAAAACCTTCATTTTAGAAAGGCCGGCCAGTAGAGCATTGCAGTAGTCTATTCCTAATTTTGTACAGCACAAATCTACACAACCTGGAAATGTTCTTGATATGTGGATGGTAAAGCTCAATTGGTCATCAAACACTACCCCCTGCTTCCTTGCTGTCCTGGTTAGTGTTGGTGTTGCTGACCCCAGTTGAACAGTGGATGTTGTGCTCAACTGACAGGTTTGCAGGGATTACAGGGAGCTTCGTCTTAGCAAGATTGAGCTGGAGATGATGCTACTTCATCCAAGCTGAGATCAGTCTCGATGATGTTAATCATATTGTCATTCTTGATCGCTTAACTTAAATCCTTTGGCCTCAAGCTTCGAGTCCTTGAATCTGCATCACCAGCCAGGGATGCAGACTGTCTATAACTCTTAATGTGATGTAACCTGCAGCCAGTCATTCTGAAAACCAAATCAATATGGTGACGAGCATGAGAGTCTGTGTGTGAACTTCAACCAGATATGGCTCCCACACTGTAAAAGGACTTTAAGCTATCCAGTCGGACCATTTAAATCATATTGCAGTTATGTAATATGGTCTTACTCCAAATGTGTGAATCATGCCAGTGAGCTGACCCAGACTCTGTTAACCACTCATGACAGAGAAAACATCTGCTTTGCCGTCTGCTGCCTTATAGACAGCAACTCTGCATGCCACACGAATTATGCCCCTTATGTGAAGCTAACAGAAGATTTGACTAACAATTGATTCAACTGGAGTTCCAGTGATGTGAAACTTAATCATAAAATTTGTATCACACACAAACATAGTGTGAAATAGTCAATTTCTGTCAGGACCACTATCGTCAAAGATGATTGACAATTAGCACACAGTTTGGATTGGCGGTATTGTTCTGTTCTGGCCTAGCATGGATGAGAGCAGGGAGAGCAGCAATAACCCCCCAGGGTAAACAGAACAGAATAAACATAAATGTATTTCAGATATCGTTAAAGTTCATTAATTTTATGTGCACATTTTAGAATTAGTCCGATTCAAGCAGAATCAGAAGGCTGAATCCTGACTGACAGACAGAGGAGGAATTGGGGATGGAGGAGAGTAATTAGCTATTAAGCAATGCGAAAACTGCTGATAATACTTATATATGAATGTTTAGATAGGTGTCGTATTCCTATAGGTAGATGGGGATCAGCTGAGAGTCAGCTGATGCGAGCTTGACTAACGTGACCTGCCAGAACTAACGCTACGCTTGATTTCTGTTCTTCCTGCGGATCCATGCAGCCTAGCATGGATGAAAGCAGGGAGAGCAGCGATAACCCCCCAAAACAAAACCATATGCTGATATCCCCCAACACAAACTGATAGCAAAATCTCAAAGCCTTAAGCAACAAGCATGTTGCCCTTAACCAATGACCAAAACAAATATGTTGCCAAAACCCGCATAACCTGTAGCAACAATCATGTTGCCTTTAACAGATGACCTAATGAGTATGCTGCCAATACCTTAAAAGCTTTAGCAACATGTTCTCAATAACACCAGATGGACTTAAAAAAACATGGGACTGCTCCGCCATGTAGTCATGTTGTTAACTTAACAGTTATCTTACTGATAACATCGTCAGAGTAGCGCTAACAACATTAGCGCGTATGTTAACGTGTGTGCAAACTGTATGTGCGTCTGTGAGGGAGAGAGAGTGGGAGAGATAGGATATATGCTTTCCGTACATAATAAAATGTAATTTTGTGGCAAAAACATGGAAATGATCTGTCGTTTTTATCCTATTGTTTACTATATTTATTTGTTTGGCCGGTGTTGTTGTGGGTTTTGGTTCTTTCGCTGTTGTAGACTGTAAGGACCTTTGAAATAACTGAAATCATTTGGTGAAGTGATACAGACATGTAATGCAGTCAAGAGAGCTGCCTGGAACTACGTTCGCCGTGCGTTTCCCTGAAAATAATTGCACACCTTCGAACGTTCGTCAGCCAATCAGATTCAAGCATTCAACGGCCCCGTAGTATAAATTGAATTACTTCTTATCAATACATTTTGTAATATTTGCAATATACTTAGGACAATAAGTACATTTAGAACATTTATCTCAACTTATACTACGGGGCCATTGAATGCTTGAATCTGATTGGCTGACGAAAGCTAAGCTCTCTAAAGCCCAAAGTATACTCTTTTTGTACATTAGCATTCACTTGAGTTTGGCCTATATTTGGCCTATAGACAAATGATCATAGAAGAACTGAACATTCAGTCAAGACACTGTACAAAAATATTAGTCTTAAACAGTAGAACATTTATGTTATGTAAAGAGTTTGGCTTAGAAAATATGGATTAAAAAAGAAAGATATTATTTTTTTATGACTTTGCAGCATTGTTTATTTTTAACACATGATGTCATTGAGCAACCAGCAACGGTTTGAAGATATAGAGGTGAAAGTCCAGAACCAGGCATAAATGGGATGGGCTGGCAGGAGACGTCAGTGCTGTTTGAAAGTGTTTACTTTCAAAATGCTCGTATGGAAATGAAGGGAGAAAAATGAGTTTCCTCCCTCTGTCCTGCTGCTGACCTCGAGTTCACTTTTATAAGCTGAAAGGTAGACGGGAGACACTGACTCTGAGCAAGTATGTGTTTATTGATTGTCTGTCTTTTGACAGTTTTTAATCAATCTTAATTTGGACCTTAAGAAAGTGCTTTTAAAAACATATCTGTAAATACTATAATTTAATGAGAAACTCTTCATATCACAGTTCCTCAGGACAAATGAGGTACATGTTGAAAATGTTCTTTATAATAAATCGAGGTTATATTAAAGCAAATACACCATTAGCTAATATTATTGTTGTTATATTTTCATTCAGAAGGTGGTCTTCCTCTAGTAGACATATGCTGTAATGACCAGTTTCCTTTCTTGCAGTATTCCTTTCCGTTCTTACAATATTGTCCTTTTGTTAGGTTCAGTTCTGATCAATGTGATTGTGAGGCTATTCCCTGGCCGGTCAAAGTCTACGTTAATATGCTTTGCATTATTTATTACTTTATCAGATGGAATGCATTAAACTGCTGTTTCTGTTTTAAATCCTGATTAAAAATTTTCATTGTACACCTGTACAATGACAATAAAGACATTCTAATTGTAAATGCACTTCTTTCTTGCTAATAATTTATAGGGATTATGCCTGTTTCACACATACTCTGTTTGGAGTGCTCTGTATGCAGTCCATGTGTGGTACGTGGTGCAGAAGCAGCACGGGCTCATTGTGCTGTCACATAAGTCTGCTAATGATCTGGAGCTGTATTCCACAAACGCAACTTTTATCCATTATTTAAATTCCAAATCCACATTTTGTTACTGAAAATGCTTTTCAGCGTTGTGATTCACAGTACACTTTTTAATACAATCTTTCTTAAAAAGTTGACTCTCATGGCTTTTCTTTTGCAATTAAATCTTTATTACAAGCAATCCTGCGGGTCATAAAGAGTTTTGTTTTTCTACCTTTATGAGTGCCATCCATTGTGTCACCTCATTTATCTAAAAGTGCACATTTCCTGTCTTTAAACCTAGCCAAAATGCCAAGTGTTGTTGACTGTGAAATGCAGTAGGCTTTAATTAGAAGCATTTATAGTGTGATTACTACTTTTTTCATGTCAGTCCATGTTCATTTTTACCATGAACAATGGCCCTTTAATTCAGCGTGTGCAGCACATCAAAAACACTCAGTGTGGAAACGATCACTGCACTGCTGCATATGTACCACTCCTGGAACGCATTGCCGGACCGCATCCATGTGCAGTGTGAATGCACTAACTTGTTGACATGGGCACAGAAAAAAAATATGCACCGCATATGCACTGCAAGTGGAGCATGTGTAAAATAGGGATGGTGGTGTGACCAAAAAAAAGTTTTTTTGATTGAAAAATATGCTTCAGGGGCTCGTTCTCCATGTAGGCAAGGGAGGCAGTGTCTCCTGAAAAATTTTAGGAGAAAATAATCAATAGTACAAAAATAAAACACAGCAAATATTATGAAATATGAGATTAAAGAGTGCTTGAAATGTTTTAATAGACCCCCTAATGCGTGATGTGGATATGCTATAGTTGAGAATAAATGGGAAAAAGTTATGTGAGAGAAGGCAATGCCTCCATCACACTATGATTGGCCTATTATGCTTGTTTAATTCAATAAGTCCTGCTTCCCATGTTTGTTAGCATACTGCATCCACAAAACAATCTATGAATGAATCTAATTGGTATAAATGAACATACTAATTAAAAAATAGAAACTCACCTATGTAGATATCACCACTTTCTGTCATGTCCAGTCAAACTAAATGACTTTAAAAAGTCTCACTTATTGATTCTAATTTTGCGTGCACTCAGCTTGGTGGAAGGTACATTTCCGTTTCTGTGACACCTGCGGTATTATCAAGCTTTGATGACTGGATGAGCCTAAAAGAAATTGTCTGTTAAAAACAATAGCTGAACATCAGTTCACAAATAAACTCAAAATCTGAAAATTGTTGCTGCATTCTTGTAGAATCCTACTTTTGACTTATTGGATGATAAGGAATATCAGTGCTGTCATAGGATGATAAGGATAGCCATTTCAGTGTGAAAAATGCCTTGTGATTGTCTATGATGTGAAGATAAATCACTCTCTCTTTCTTTTCTTTTTTTGCCATTTCTACTTTAGAATCACCTCGGTTGTCCACCGCCTCTGTTGGCAGTAATGACCGGACCTCCACTGCTACACTGTCTGATTGTTCTGACTTCACAGAAGTCCAGAGGCCCGTAAGCGTGGTCTCCAGCATCTCATCCGGGTCTGGTTCCTCTCGGGAAGACATTCTCCTGTCAGGTATCCCATCTGCTGGTGTGCCTATTGAGGACAACGTGGATCTGGAATTAACGGCTGCTGATCCGGATGAGACTCAGGGCACTAGTCTTACCCAAGCAACCACCCTATTCCTCCAACAAAATAGCAGCAACACTGTTAACAACAGCAACAACAGCTCCTCCGTTTCCAACAGTTTCTCTCCATTTGCTGCCAGCACCATGGCACCCAACCCTGAGCTCACCTACCTGGACCGTGTGGTCATGGAGATCATTGAGACGGAGCGGATGTATGTGAGAGATCTGAGGAGTATCGTAGAGGTCAGCATTAGTCTTAATCTTTCTAAACAAATGGTTATATTCAACTGTCAATCAAATAAAATTTGCAAAAATGCTATTAATTACAATATATGCTAGGGATATAACAGTACACAAAAATGATGGTTCGGTACCTTGGTTTTAAAGTTTTGGTTCCTTAAGGTGTAAGTTATCTGACAGGCTGTAATTTTTGTAAACATGCATCCGATCACTCCCATTTTTTATTTTCCTAGTTAATCTCCTTTAGTTGAGTATTTATAAACAGTTTTATCATTGTTCACGGCTTGCTCTACTCAAACATTTATTCGGCTCCCATAGAGACATTATTGGTAATGCCTGCTCACCTCCGCTTGCTCTGTCAGTGGACATGCACATTACTGCTGCCTTGATCTGCATTGCAGCTTGTAATGACACAAATAGTTTGATCTGATGAATAGTGCACCTTAGTTCTCACCAATTATTAATATTTCTAGCTCGTGATTTAATAAAACCAACTGTGTGCTTATAAGGAAGGATTTTCTCACAATGTAGATAAGTATGTAGATGCAAGAGCCTTCTTCCAGTCTTCCTCCAGACTCCGGACCTTGATTTCCAAATGAAATGCAAAATTTACTTTTATCTGAAAAGAGGATATTGGACCACTGAGCAACAGTCTAGTTCTTTTTCTCCTTAGCCCAGGTAAGATGCTTCTGACGATGTTTCTGTTTCAGAAGTGGCTTGATAGCCCTTTTCCTGAAGACGTCTGAGCATGGTGGCTCTTGATGCACTGACTCCAGTGTCAGTCCACTCCTTGTGAAGCTCTCCCAAGTGTTTGAATCGGCTTTGCTTGACAGTGTCGGGGCTCCTTTAGCACAAACTCCAGCATCAGTGAGGTGTGGCATGGAAGCGATCTGCCTGTGGCACTGCTGAGGCACTACTGAGCCTTCAGCTCATCTTCCCCATTATTGTGGTTTCAAAGAACAAGAGATACCCGGAATTTATACTGTAGGGATGGTCATTTAATGAAACTCAAATGTAAATATTCTAATATTTTGAGATACTGGACTTTTGACTTTCATGAGCTGTAAGCTCTAATCATCAAAATTAAAACAAAAAAACTTTTGAAATGTTTTACTTTACATGTAATGAATCTAGAATATGTGAACGTTTCACTTTTTGAAATGTGAAAACTTTTTCACGATATTCTAATTTTTTGAGATGCACCTGTAAATGAAATACTGTATACTCTCTTCTGTTGCTCACAAGCTAGTGTTTAACACATGCCGAAAAATTGCTGATGCTGACCCCTGTGCTGTGTCGATACACGTTTTGGGCTGTTTTTTGTGTCTTGATGTTTTTCAGTGTCTCACACCATTAGTGCTGCGTTAAGTTTTAAACTGTAAATTAAAAAAAATACATATATGCTTTGAGACCCTGTTCTTAGTTCCATTCAGTTTCAACTATTTTTCAATGCAAGAACACATCATGTGTGAATGGCCCCTTATTAGCAGGTTATGGGTCAGGAGGCTTGATGAAATGCTTTCTTTTTTTCTTTCTTTCTTTTTTTTTTTTTTTTTTTTTGAATTGACAGCCCACATTTGTACACACTCTTTTCTTATGTGTGTTAGGTGAAAGTTCACCCAAAAATGTAATATCATAATTTACTCAGCCTCTTGTCATTCCAAATGCACAAATGAAGTTATTTTTAATATTTTAATGTCATATTTTTGTCCATTCATTAAATTAAGTTCCAAACGTAAGTACGGGAGGAGCCTAAAGGCTGATTTATACTTCTACATCGAACCTACGCCGTAGCTACATTGTATGCTGTGTGTAGCATGTGTAGCCTACGACGTAGCCTGAAATGCACATCTCCAAAAATGTAACAACACATCAGCTCTACGCAGACTGCAAGCACTGTGATTTGTGTGCTAGAACCCCTCCTTCAGGTCAAAAAAACAATCTGCGACAGCGTCACATTTCCTTGCATTTCTGCTTGCAACATAACTACAGTGAAAATAAAGATATACGAGCAACTCAAGCTGCAACTAAAGTCGCTGTCTATTTGCCGCCATCACTGCTGATATTTCTCTGACAGCGTACACAACAAGCTGCTTCTTCGGCTTTTGCTTTGATAATGTGGGCTACACCAGCAACATTCCTGTGGACACTACTAGTGGTCTTGCATGTGTAATTACATGTCGACACGGACAACTGCACAGAAGTATAAATGAAACCGACGTGTAGCCTACGACGTAGAGGCTGAAGTCAGAGTTAGTTTAGCATTAACTATTAAAACTGGATGGGCAGGCAAACCTATGAAACGTCCACACAACACAACCAAAACTTTCACGCATCAAAAGAATGAAAAGACAACTTGGAAGCTCAACCATGCTTGCTTCACATGTGAGAACTAACCTCATTGGTTCTCATGTGCGAAGCAAGCACAATCGAGCTTCTGTGTTTACCATATTTTATGAGATTTATTTATGTGTGTTAAACAATGTTTATACATAAATAAAAGCCTAAAATAAATCAGTTCTTTATATAAAGCGATCATGTCTTTTCATAAAGCATGGATTAAACCACTTTATTCATATGGATTACTTTTACAATGTGATTTTGTACTTTTCAATGCATGAAAGTTTTGGTAGCTTGGACTTTCAATAAATAGACAAAAATAGAAAGAATATCTTCATCTGTGGGTGAGTAAATTATGACAGAATTTTTTTATTTTTGTGTAAACCATTTCTTTAAATTACTTTGTGTTAAGCCTTTGGAAATTAATCCATGGAAATCTTGACAGGATGAATTTCTACACTTCATGAAATAAAACCCAACTCAGTTGAAAACGCTGTTTGTGCCCCTAGTGTAGTCAGTCCTAGTAATGGATTCCCAGCAGGGAATGTTGTGGTAGTGAACACTGTTCAAAAAGTGAGAAGTCACAGATCAGCTATGATGGATTCCACCAAAAATACTTTTTGGAAAGAAGGCACATTTCTGGAGCTTCTTTAAAATTTAAGAAAAGTTCAAGACATTGAAACTTATTGCATGTGAAATTATATCAAGTAGAGTCAGTAGAGTTGATTAGAAACATTAATCGGCAAGCTGTGCTTTATCTACTAAATTGTAAACGTAGGTGACGAGTGAATTCTCATTTTGTAAATCTAAACATAATTTTGGGTGACATGGTTTATTTCACAGACCTGATGCTAGATCAAAAACAAGGGTCTTCTCAGTACAGACAGAAACTGTTCTCTAGATCTGTTAATCCAGGTACTAGATAGAAACACCATCAACCATTAAACCATCGCTAGCGTCCACCAGGCTTAGCCACAGAAGCAGATTCTCTTCAAAGTCTCGTCCTCCAAAAGCATGTCATTAAACCTGAATGCTCAAAATGACTGACAGGAAGACACCTGACACCTGAGGGACAAAACAGGCTACTAAATAAATAAATAAAAACAAACAAACAAAATAAATCAATAACAGAAGAAGGGGGGAAAAAATTAAATTTAACAATAGTAATGTTTCAATGGCAAATTTTAGCTGTACAATGAAATATGGTTATAAATTAGTTTTATACAAATCAAAGCAGTAAATAGTAGTCAACAACATAGGCCTAAGTGGAAACCGCACTATTTGTAAAGCATTGAATGTTAGTTATGTCCAGAGCACCTTAATGCAACTGCATGAGTTTAGTTTACTCTATTCAGTCTAGCAGTGTACACCCCCCAAACAAAATCAAGACTTTGTAAAAGACCATAATAGGACCCCTTTAACTCTATCCAGTCTAGTTTATTCAGTGTTAACCAAAGTGACTGATTTGAATTTCACTAATTAGTTATTTACTTAAAGCCAGCATGAAATGGAAATTCACCTATTTTCTAAATGTTGGTGATCTCATTGTGAATGATTCATCCAAGAATATGTTTTCACCGTAAATTTTAATTAAAAATAGCATAACTTGAACTTCTTGAAACAACTTCTCTCTGGTGACATACACCAGACTTCCCTAATCATTTGGTCTGCTTAAGCCACGGCCCCTTTCTTACAATCAACTGCAAGTCTGCATTTAGATCCACCTCTATCCAATCAGCAACTGATGGATAAAACCAAGTCCCTACGCTACACAATATAGAAATAAAGATCTGCTGATACTTCTGTTACATCTCAACTTAAGCTGATTACTACATTAGGAGGTCAGTTCAGTGCACTGCAATCAAGGAGGGTGTGTAGTTAAACCCATCAGATAGGTCATATCACGGCTCATACATCATATTTCATTCTCCTACTACTGTATTCGCTATTGAATACATGTTTTTCATTATATATTGAATGCTTCTGAAGTGTAGGAACTGCGTATTATGACTTCTTAGCAGTGAGACATCCAGTGCCCTGGGATTATCACGTTATGTAACATCAGGTTTGACAATTGGATTGTGCCAATTGAGTCCTCCAAGTACAATACAATGTCACACAGCTTGAAGTGAGATTACAAACAGTCATAAGGTGTAAAAAAAAAAACATTTCAAAATTACAATTTGCATTTAAAGTTGCATTTAAACGAACCCGAAAAACATGCATCACAATTTCATTATTTATTCAAAAGACTGTGCACTTTATCAGATAATTGTCATTTGTTTGAGAAAATTAATGAATGAATACATAATACATCCCTGAGAACACACAGTCCTGAAGAGTCTGTCTACATTTGGATTCTTGGATTTGTTTGCAGTTGGGGCTGCACGATTATGACAAATAATAACTGTTGATTATTTCTAATGATATTGTAATAGTAATAAATAATTTACATTAATTGAATTTACATTAAAATACTTATTTTGTGTGTGTACATCTGTAAACAAAGACTAAATGGTGGAGCTAAACTTACCAAATTTTGTGCACAGAAATTGAGCAAAGCATCAAAATTACAATGCACCATAACATTATAATCACTGAAGCTGAAGACTGAAAACTACATAGATACATGCATTGTTACTTGCAGACATATTGCTCCTGTC